TCATCGTGTGTGTTGGTTGTCGGATGAGGCATTATAAGTGTCGGAGTCGTGTCGTTCGATTGTACCGAAGGAAAATCCACGTAGATAGGATTTCCTTCTAAATACGCTGCTTTTAAGCGATCGATGCTATCGTTGGTTCCGTTCTTATCGACTATATAGTACTTAGATTCACGTTGAAGAACTTTGAAGGGTCCTTCGTATGCTGATTCGAATGGTCGTCGATGCGAGTCTCGACGAACGAAAACGTGTGTACTATATCGTAAGTCAGGTTGAACGAAAACATCAGTTGATTGAGGTCGAGTGGAAGCAGGTTTAACTGAACGCATTGCGTTTGTAAGCCTGTTCGTGTAGGAGGTTAGATCCAAGTTCATTGAAGAGGATGAAGGATCCACGAATTCTCCTGGAAGTCGAAGTGTCGTTCCATAAACGAGTTGAGCCGCAGTGTATCCAATGTCAGCTTTCACTGCATTGCGGATACTTAGTAAGACGAGTGGAAGAGCGTCGGTCCATTGTGAAACGTTTGCAGCTGATAGCGAAGCTTTCAGTTGTCGGTGAGAACGTTCTACCAACCCGTTTGCTTGTGGATGGTAGGCGGTCGTTCGGAAGCGATTGATCCCTAAAAGTGTGGTCAGACGACAGAAAAGTTCAGATTCAAACTGACGTCCGCGGTCTGTGGTGATGGTTGAAGGGAAACCGAAGTTTGCTACCCATCGCTCGACGAAGGTGCGGGCCACTGTTTCAGCAGTGATGTCCTTGATAGGTACTGCTTCTGGCCATCGAGTGAAACGGTCTACGCAGGTTAAGAGATAAGAGTATCCATTTGAATCTGGTAAAGGTCCTACCAAATCCAGATGAACATGGTCGAAACGAGCATCGGGAGTTTTAAACGAGCCTAGGGGACATTTATTGTGTCTGATAACCTTAGATTTTTGGCAGCTTACACAGGAGCGTGCTTAATCCCTCACGTCTTTATTCATTCCAGGCCAGCAAAACCGTTCTGCTATAAGCTTGATGGTTGCACGAACACCTGGATGCGAAAGTTTGTGCAATGTGTTGAAGACATTGCGTCGATAATGTTTAGGCACGATTGGGCGATCCCTACCTGTAGATGTGTCACAAAGTAAGGTTTCCTTACCTGTTCCCATCTGTTTGATGCGTAGTTTAAGTGTTGTGGACGATAACTCGTGCTGAAGATCACTGTCTTCTTTTTGAAGCTCGGCGAGTTTAAGAAGGTCGATTCCTTGGAAACTGTTCAAGGAAGTTATGCGAGATAAGGCGTCTGCAACTACATTGTTTGCTCCAGAGATGTGTTGAATGTCTGAAGTAAACTGTAAAATGTAGTCCAGTTGTCGAGACTCACGGGGAGAGTACTTGTCTGAAGGAGAGCTTAACGAGAAAGTGAGCGGTTTATGGTCCGTGAAAATAGTGAATTCACGACCTCCGATGTAGTGTTGGAAATGCCGTACAGCACAATACATAGCTAGGAGTTCCCTACCGAATGTGCTGTACCTCGATTCGGTGTCTAGCAACCTTCTAGAGAAAAATGCCAAGGGTTGCCAGGAGTTGTTAACCCATTGTTGTAAGACTCCTCCGACTGCCGAGTCGGATGCGTCTACTGCGATGCTAATGGGTGCTCGGGTTTCCTGATGTGCGAGCATTGTTGCTTTAGCAATCAGTTCCTTAACTGTGGAGAATGCTTTTCGTGCGGTGTCGTCCAAATTAATGGATTTCGCATTTCCACGAAGTTGGTCGGTCAGAGGTTTCATAAGTAATGCGCATTTCGGTATGAAACGTCTATAGAAACTTACCAGGCCGTTAAACGTGCGTAATTGCTTGACGGTGGTCGGTTCTGGGTAATCCAGAAAGGCCGCCACTTTGGTCCTAAGAGGTCGAATGCCTTGAGCGTCGATAGTGTGTCCTAGGAAGTCTAACGAGTCGGTTCCGAATTGGCATTTCTGAACGCTTACAGTTATGCCATGTTTTTGTAGTCGTTCGAAAACAAGATCCAGATGCTTGAGATGTGTTTCTCTGTCCGGACTTGCGATTAGACAGTCGTCAACATATGCATGTACGAAGTTGAGACCTCGGAAAACGTCGTCTATGAATCTTTGGAATGTTTGAGCAGCATTTCGTAGACCGAAAGGCTTTCGCAAAAATTCATAGAGTCCGAAGGGAGTTATGATAGCTGTTTTCGGTATGTCGTCAGTAGCCATAGGTATTTGGTTATACGCTTTAACCAAGTCGATTTTCGAAAAGACAGTTGTACCTTTCAAATAGTGAATGTGAGACAACGGATAACGATCGGGAATGGTTTTCGCGTTCAATCGCCGATAGTCACCAGTTGGACGCCAATCGTTGGTGTCCTTTTTAGGGACCATGTGCAACGGAGATGCATATGGGCTACTTGACGGTCGTATGATTCCTAAGTCCATCATGTGATCGAATTCGTTTTTCACTAACCTTAGCTTTTCAGGAGCTAGTCGTCGTGCTTTAGAGAATACAGGTGGTCCTGTAGTCGTGATGTGATGTGTAACGTTGCTGGTTACACACGGTAGTTTCGGTTGAGTTTGTTGTATCCCAGGGTACTTATCGAGTAGTGGTTGATAGAGTGGGTCTATCATATGTTTAACTGTGACTGGGGATACTCTACAACCAGTAAAAGAAGTTACGCAAACGGACAAATTAGTGTTTCCGTCTACTAGCCTCCGTTTGCGCGTGTCGATGATCAGATTGTGGTGTTGTAGAAGGTCCATACCAATGATTGGCATAAAAACATCTGCAATAACGAAAATCCAGTGGATGGGTTTGCGTAAACCCACGTTAAGGTAAACGTACCTTTTGCCATACGTAGCGATCGGTTTTCCGTTTGCCGCCTGTAAGTTAAAAGCCGATTCCTGAAGCCGGTCGTTAGGATTTGCTGGGAGAACGCTAACTTCTGCGCCAGTGTCGACGAGGTAGCGAACTCTCGTTGTCACATCTGTGACGAATAACAGACGGCTTTGTTCGCCGGCTACGGTTGCCGTTAACGCGTGCCGGCTTGGAAGTTTCCCGAATTGCTTTTCGAATCAGTCGGTTTCGTGTTGGGAAAATTGCAGGGTTTTCTGCAATTTCTGGAAAACTTTCCATACTGGTTATGATACCAGCACCAGTCGGGGTTATCTGTTTCTCGTGGTCTAGAGACAGATCGCTTACGAGAAGTGTTTCTACGTGGTGTGCGCGATCTCTTACGGTCGGTACGAAGACTGAGATAACGCGTGAGCGTGTGACATAAGTCGGTTATATCATTCTGAGTCGCTTGAGGTTTTTCTTTGACTGAAAATACCTCGGTAATAGATTTCGTAATTTCTAAAATGCGGTCGGCAGATGCAGCTAGTTCGTCTAAGGCGTTGTTCTGGAACGAGACCAGAACTGCTTGCACCTGTTGAGGAAGTTTTGACAAGAAGAGTTGTTTGAATAGACCTTCGTCGAAAGTTCTTGGGCCTATAACCTCTCTCATCCGTTGCAACATGTCTGTCGCAGAACCGTGTTGCAGGTCGATATTGTTGAAGAGTTGATCTAACCTTTGTCGATCGGTTAGGTCTCCTCGTTTAAGAATCGAGCGTTTTAAGATTTCGTAAGGATCGGAAACATCACTAGTAAACATACTAGGTGTTACGTACCTGTTGAATTCGCGCGGTAGTGCCTTAACTACAGCGAGGAATTGTGCACGTGTGTCGATCACGCCGTGCTCGGAGAAGTCGGCTTCTGCGTAGCAAAACCAGGCTTCGATGTTGTCGGGCCAGAAAGGCATCAGTTGAAACGAAGGCTGGGACAAAGTCTTAAGCTTGAGTACTTTAGGTGTCTGTTCAGTCATGATGAAGTATGAAGAACGATAATGAACGAGGGGAAAATATATATATATCCAAGAAAAAACACGAAAAAAATCACAATGTTTAAAAAAAATAAAAAAAATAAGGCAATGATATATAAAAATCCCAAAAAGGAACAGACTCACAGTTGCAATAAGGTGTACCAGATCACGTCGGGCTCACCAATGATGATGTCACAGGTATTCAGTGTTTGACAACGCTTCTACCAGTAACACCTTCTAATATATTTCGTTCCCGCCCAGAGAAATCAAAAGACAGAGTCGAGGAGATCGGAAGAGTATATTTGGCGATGACCAATATATCGGAATTCTCTGATCTAATCTGGCTAGCGATTGCGGTTGATGTTGAGCACGGCGTTACCACACGTGATTTGGTGCGGATGCCTGACCGAGCCCCTTCAGGTAGATGAGTCCACTAAAACATATGGTCAGCATCCAATGTCGAAAACTTAGAGCTATTTATTTTGGGGATTTATTTACCGCTACAGTGCCTTCAATCACTAAACCCTTACGCATTAAAGTATAGGCGTCTTAGAGGTGACCTTCTAGTGGCTTACATTATCCTCAACACTTCTGGACATCTTAACCAGCTTCTTCAGTTTAGCTACTATACAAACCTAAGGGATAACACCCAGAAACTAGAGACACAACATAGCATAACTGACTGTAGACACAACTTTTACTCCTTAACAGTTGCAGAATGGTGAGATTCGCTGCCGGCTGAGCTAGTCCAAGTGACTTCTCAGGGGTCCTTGAAGAGGAAACTTGACCTAATCTTAAGGACTAAGGATTATATCTTGCTATGATTTATCAATTTCTTTTTTCCTCCATTATCGTTAATATACCTAGGTTCTTGCCTGGAGGTATTGGTGATCCACCACTACTAGACACGGAAGCCCGTCAAGCGAAAGCTTCTTCTATTCCGTCTACAACCATTTGAACCATTTGGACATCTTTTCACATCTGACGTCAATAGTTAGGATAAACAACCTCATCGGCTTATAGCGACCATTTACAGTTCTAATAAGAGAATGTTTTCAATCTTTTAGCCGATGTAATTTTTCTTACTCCACATTCTTGCCAATCATTATTGTGTGTGTGATTGTATGTTGTTTAGACCCATCACACGAATGAACTGAGTACAAGTGGTGTTTTCAAATATACATATGTTTCTTGTGGTTTGCGCGGACACCACATATTTCTTCAGTAATGGTACAAGGGTCTCCGACAGATAACGGAGCCTGGAGATGGGTTGTTGTTTTTGGTGCATTTATTTCTCACTTCATAACTTGTGGCTTTGAGAAGGGATATTCGATCATTTATGTCGAAATCATACGGGTATACGGTACAAGTGCTGCGATGGCAGCAAGTCTCGGAGGTTTCGCATCAGCAGTTCGTTTACTATTAGGTTTGTTCATAATTTTAATCATTCTGTTAGCCCCTTTGTCGGTTTCATTGAGTAATATTTATTCTGAACAGAAAGTAGTAATGGCCGGTGGGATACTAACGTTTCTGGGTCTGCTCATATCAGCATTAAGTGACCATTTCGCCCTTGTTTTCATCGGATATGGAGTTATATTTGGTAAACTCGATAAATAATTAAACTACTTTAGGTTTCGGATTAACTCTCACATTTACACCCTCACTAGTCATATGTACATATTACTTTCACGAACGTCGTGCTACCGCTCTCAGTCTTTCTCTGGCTGGATGTGGCTTTGCCACAATGATTTTGCCGTATTTTTTCTACTACTTGATTTCTCAATATGGACTTTCTGGAGCTCTTATAATGCTTTCTGCGTTCAGTTTGCATTATTGTGTTGCTGGTGCTTTATACTTCAAAAAGGACTTCGTAAAAGAGACTGCTGAATCCAAATTTGACTCAGAGAATGACAAATTGACTTGGCGCTCGCGAGTTTCCAGGTATCTCTGCTTGCTATTGAAGATCAAAATTGCATCTGGAGTATGGGTAAAGCTATTTTTATTTTCATTCATCTTGAACATGATGGGCTCAGGCCCAGTCACAACCCTATTAATCGATTATTCGAAGCAGCTAGGGGTAAGTTGATTCTCTTTTCGATTCAAGTGATCATTTTAGGGAGGGAAAAGCTTCCCAGTTATAATGAGCCTTGTTTTTCCTATATTTACACTAGTGTGTCCCAGCTGTTAGTCCCAATAGTTAAACTCCATTGAGTTCCACTCCTCAATAGGGCTAGATTTTGGGTGTTTATCTTCATTGCTGACAGTTCTTAGTTCTATCATTCTTTGGTGATAGTAGGTTGTCCGGATCATTACTTAAAGGCATCCATCACAGGCTTTTCTGGTTTTTTCATCCTTTCAAATCATTAGGTGTAATGAAATCTTTAGACAGTGCCGGAGAGGTAAGAGACCATATGGTAATGTGCTAACAAAATGGTTTTCGCTTGCATTGTAAACTTTCACTGTTTTTATCATACCTAAGATCAGCTAGTTGAACTCAACCTGTGTCCTAAATGTTGAATGTGAATGATTATCCCAGGACTAGATTACCAATAATTCAGCTGTCCATATCACGAAAGTTGGTGTCTAATTGAAGTGGCTGAATGGGGAATTGGAACATCAGTGGTTTGTGCATCAAACTACTGCTGCTACCATACGTTTTGGGCACTCGCAAAAATTCATTTGTAACGGCTTCGTTTCATGTTTTGAGAAACCTTCACTTGCTCAATAAAATTGTAAGATAACTCCACCTATATCACTACTGAAATTGACATACTTAAACCGTCTACAGCCGTTACAGCAGACTAAATTGCTACATCATTATATAATAGTTAATACGAACCGAGCGATAAAAGCTCAAGGAGAGTAGGAAACTTTCAAAAGACAGGACTATTGGCCGACAAAGGATCTGATAAAGTGATGCAGTTTCTAATGTAAACATTTGTAGGACAATTTGAAGCCTCAAACATATAGGAATGTAGAATAAGAACTTTCATACTTCACTTACAAGAAAAAAGCGAGTAATCTTTCATATTCAGGCTTGGATTTTGAATCCCACACATACTGATTAACTCTATGACAGAACCAAAGAAAGGTGTACTTGAATAAAGTACCCAATCTCTTTGGTTATCTATATGTTTTTATGAGTGAAATTATGATTTCCGTATCATCACTTTGTATTTGACCGTGTTAGAAAATAAAGCTAGCCACATCAAACGAATCACCGTCACCCAATTTAAACTACATTTTAATTTCGACTAACGTACTTTGAAATGTTTTCAACTCAAAATCAAACCTTCCTACTCAAAATATATACTCAACTGAGTGTTTCTTCAATTCTGTGTTACCAGAGTTATAAAGCTTGATAATAAATAATTAATTAACTAAATAATTAATTAACTAAAACCGTTCTGAAATTAGAATATAGCCAGTTGGGTTGTGGTGAATTGCGGAAAATCTAGTTTTTCCCAGTTACGTCGATGCCGATTTGGTTTTTATTTGTCTTCTCTTCAGTTCAATATTTACAAAGTGGCGGCTAAGTATAACATACAGTCAGTCTTACCTAATACCATTGAGGCCACTGAAGGGAATTTTTGGTTGTCACACAAACCAAACGTCTCAGCCCAGCATATTAACTTGTATACGATTACTGAGTTGTATTCGACCATTTTATTGTTTCTATCTATATTAATTTCTTATGATTTCATCTATTTTTCTACATGGTATACCGGTAGCGCACTTCGTAAGTTTGTAAATTGTTGGCCAAACGATATTTTGATGTAATAGTTGATAAAGAGAACTTAGTGGGTTTTCAGTAAACAAATAATTGTATTTATTTTTTATATGAAAACGTAGTTGTGCCTGTAATCATCCAGTAAATAAACGTTTGTACCCTGTACGAGTAATAAACAGGTTTAACTGGTTTCCCACTGCGAAATCTCTAGGATTTGATTTGAAGATATCGTCTACTTATTTGTACGATTTATATTAAAGTAAAAGATCATAGCTTATGGTTGCTGATATTATTTGCATGTGTTTGCTAAATAAACCACTCGAAGTTTATATATCCACTTGTGATATAGTGGTTACAACTTTTCTCCATCCACATCAGTTTAGACATTTGAGCATTGCCACCAGTCCAACACAAAAATGTGTGACTCCAAGTCGTGGACATAAACCTTCACTTGAGTTACAGCAAACTAAGCTAAATGAGTGAATACATGATGAAGTGCAGAGAATTTTAACATAGAGGCAACTTGCTCAGCATTTTGTTTAGCAGGATTTTAAGTTGTAGCTATTTAGTATACAAATATTTTTCGAAGGCTTGGCCAAAGCAAGAAAATTTGTGATTTGCAAACGACGCCTATTCTGTCAATAAAATAAACCCATAGATTGTAGTTACACTTCGATTTTGTTTAGTTTTGCTTAGTTACATAGAACTTGGTAAGAGTCTAATCTACATCATATGCTAAATTTCGACGCCCGAAATTCTAACTAGCATCAAATTCTGAATGCAAGAAAATGATTGCTACGACACTATCGTAAGACTGTTAAAGGATTGTAGTTTTCATAAGCAAAATTGACTCGTCAGTCTACTCGCTTCCTTATATGGAAGTATTTGTTGGTAATTTAATACTAAACATCTGGATAGTCTAAGTATTCATCCATTAACGGTTAATTTCTTGCAACAAATCTAGCCATAATTTCTACGGAATGTCTAGAATTTACTTTCTGAATTTTAAAAAGTGTCATCTAAAATTCTTTTTAACTTTTAAGGTAATCGGCGCTCAGTCAGTACAATTACTTGCTATTGAAGGTACAGTACAGTTGGTGATGCGGATAGCTCTGGGATTCATTTTCGATTACCGTTTCATAAAACCTCATAGAGGTATTATATGGACTGGAGGAATAGCATTTTCTTCTGTAATAATTATCTTTATTGCATTTGCCTCTCAATTGAAGTATTTGTCCGCTCTTATGTTTTTGCGAGGGTTATTTTTGGCTCTTTACATCTCTCAGCAAGCTGTAGTTTTATCGGATTTATGTGAAGGACAACCAGAAACAACGAGTCAAACAATTGCTATTGCACAAATCTGCAAAGGATTAGGAACGTTGATTGGATCTTACTTTTCTGGTAATTTATTTAGTTGTACTTAATTACTTGGTTTAAGATTATCCAGGTGGTCATAAAACTGAGTCATTTCATCTTAATTGGTTTCTATGAAGTTGCTAGGACAAATATTTCATACATTAAGTTGCATATAGATTATTTAATAGTTCCCGTAATAATAATCCAGGTGAAATTCTATAGTCTATTCAGAAATTGTTGTATAGTACATCAAAATATCAGCGCTTTAAGTGCTAGTGTAAAATTTTTCCATTACACAGAACAAGTCATCAGTTAATAATTAAAAGTTATTAAGATTAACTGTTTGTGGGACATGGATTAAATTAAAGCATGTTCCTCTCAGACCTTTGTTGGGGCACTCTGACAGTTATCTCTAACGGATACTCGAGGAAGACTATAATCTTCGCGCGTAAAATTATAAATATATTGTTTTTCTTATTGTGACTCCTACTTCTCTTCAACCTTGTTTATTTCGAATATAATTACGTTCCTAGTCAATAGTGTTCTGAACTAGGGCTTCTTGAGTGAAGTGAAGTGTCAAGATAATACTAAGCAATAAGAGTAGTTAATTGGTAATGAGAGAGATCCTAACAGCAACATAATAAAATCTTATTTTTAAGAACAGTTAATCAGTAAGTTTAAATAGAACAAAATTACTGGTATTATGAGGATTTTAAAGGCTTTTGAAATTCGGTCTATAAAATGAGAGACTTCGTCTTGTCATAGGACTTCATTGCTTCTTGCTTTAGTCAGTCCACATTTTATTGAGTTGCGACGTTTTCATAACACCCGCTTATGACGTATGTTATGGTTAGGGTTTGTTGCTATATAATCAACGCACCAACTATCTGAATGACTATGAAACATAGAGATGAAAGTTATATAGAAACTAAATATACAGATGAGTGAATTCTGACCTTTCAAAATTATTTTTTCACTATGTAGTGAGAAAAACAACTATGGTTTTGTTTTGACACAAAGAATCAGGGGAGCGAAATATCCAGTAAACAATACTAGTATTGTTTACACAATAACGATGAAGTTTATTGATTGAATAGGATTCGAGACTATATTTCAAACTAACTGATTATTGAATAGCAACCAATATCCTTTTCGCCTATTCTTTGGCACTGAACTGCTCTTATGAACCATGTTGCAGTGTGCGGCCCCTAATTAAGTGTCTGCATATCGTGCTGCACTGTTTAATGGTTAAAGGAAATGGATGCTCCCCTCAAGACTACTGGTGGATGCTATTTAGCACGGGGCTTTCACTCCGAACCACCTAACATTAATAATAGGTCACTTGAAAATTCTTTCAATCAGATATGAGAGATGAAGTACTGAGAGGCAATATACTGTAGTAAGAATATCACTTAATATAGGGTTGATTTGTTGTTATCTTTTTATCTTGTGTTTACCTATTGACAATTTACTACGACTTTGTTTCTTTACACTATCAAATCAATATCATATATGTTGATCTATTTGATTAAAATTGTGTCAACTTCTATATTTATCGACTAAAATATTCTTTCGCTATAAAAAATCGTGCCAGAATTGCACAACTTTGGGGCTTAGATTAGTGCAGTTTCAGTTTTTAATTGTAAATAATTAGTGAGTGTTTGTCGGTATACATTGTTGACAATTCCTAAACTAAGATAATTCATGAGTTCATTACTCCTCTGAACTAAAAGCGCTACTATTTATTGACAAATTGAAAAGAGACTACTACTTCTCGGCACGAATTGAAGTAAGCATCTATCGCTGAATGTGTTTTATTAAATACTGTTTTCTTTCAAGTGGAATGAATAACTGTAAATTGTCTGGCATAGTTCGATCCTTGAAATCGATAATATTTACAGTGCTTTCTTGTTCAAGTAAAACAATGTTTAATTTATACAAATTCCTCGAAAAATCTACATAACACTTAGGATATACAACAAGGACCTTATCCGTCAAGATGGGACATCCTTAGCTGTTAGTATCTAATTATACAGAATCATGTACTCTGTTTCTAGCCCCACTGTTTGTATGAAGATTGCAAAAACGGTTCGACTTTCTAGACATAATCAGGTGAAGGAGGATTTGAATCAGTTACTTCTTTTGGAAACCGAGTGCTCTAACCACACTATCTGTGCTTCTCTGTTTGTATTTACAAATAATAGTCATTGAAACAATTTAATATGATCAATCATTTCTATATGCTAACTTTTTTTCTTCATCAGGTCTAATCAAAGATTATACTGAAGATTATCGTCCTGCCTTCATTTTCCTTGGTATAATGCAATTCATTGGTTTTATCACAGCGATTACTTCTATTTTGTGGGTGCGAATAAATTTACGTAAAGAAAAATGTTTACTTGCTGCTGACAATTTATTATCTAATACTAGTGTTGCAAATGTTTCAGAAGCTTCATTATCACAACCGGTGTTAAATGAAAATAAAACCTCAAATAATAATCAACCTAGTCCTTCTTCATCTCCTCTCTTTATCCATAAGGAGATTAATGAGACAAGTACACTTCAAAATCCTAAAATATGATATTTTTTTGGTAATAAGATGTCTTCACTTCTTACACTATTCAAGTGAGTAAAATATCTACACTGTGATTGTTTTTATTGAGTTTCGACAGTTAGATTTGTTATTTCATGATTTAAGATTTAAATTCTTTTTAGACATTCATCTGCTTTAGTGATAATGTCAGTCAGTCAGTCAGCTACAACGTAGGACCAGGCACATATATGCATCGGTCCAAGTTGCCATAACGCATTAGCACATCAAGATGGACACCGGATTCATAAAAGTAACTAATTCAGAGGTGGTAATATATAAAAGAAAGATTGCAATAAGGATATAGTACAGGAAGAAAGAATTAATTCGTAGAAAGAAAGATATGAAGCGATTTTAATCTCTTAGTTTAAGGGAAGACAGAGATTTTATACACCGACGCCATTGTGATCGATTCTGAGCCATGTCACCAAGACTCTCCAACCATTGGTTATGACAGCCACGCGGACCCCAACCAAGTTGTCTGCATCTACCAACATGGCTCAGATTAGAAGTTAGTGACTTCAAGCACTGATGCCACGTTTTGGTTTGACCGCCCCTAACATTCTTCCAACCATCCCGAACACCGGTCCTTTCTTTTGATTAAAATATCTACTCTTTACTTAGTGGTAATTTTCTTATCAAAGTACACTATATAGAAGCGTATTTTTTCGAAGTATTAAAAGAATTTTAACGGTGGTGAAAATAGTTTAAAGAATCCATATCGTAATACTATCACCGTCTACTTTTGTTTGTCCTGGATTCCCAAGAATTCATATTAACCCATAAATGCATATAAATAAATAGTATATTTTTAATATCCCAATGAGTAGAGAAATTAGATTTTGTGACGTTTCGTGACTTAGTGTAAGTCACTTCAGAGAATAAATAACCAAACTAAAATTAGTCGAAGTTTAAATAGTACAACGGAACAATAAGAATAATATGTGATCAATCATGAGATCATTCTACTGAAGAAAGGATTAAATTTCAATTTACATAGAAAACCACTTAGCACTCTTGAAATTGCTTCAATTATAAGACCATTAATCACACAACTACCAGAAAAAGAATCGCATTTATTATGTCAAAATACATCCCATATTCTGACTAAACAAAAGCACATCACACCAAACATTTCAAAAGAAGAACTGAAGGCTCTGCATTCACTTCGAAAAGACAAAACGATTATCATCACAAAAGCCGACAAAGGCAACACAACAGTAGTCATGAATAAAACAGATTATATTAATAAAGCTCCCGAACATCTCTCAACAGGACCATATGAAAAGATCAATCCGGAAAATTCTCTAGCGATTAAGAATAAAGTCAAATCAGAAACAAATCAACTTTTGAAAGAGCTAAAACCAGTCACTGGTGTCTCGCTTTGCTTTGCTCTGCATCCCAAATCATGAAATGTCTCACGGTTTTACGGTTTATCGAAAACTTGTAAACCAGATATCCCTCCAAGACCGATAGTAGACTTTACTAACACACCAACTTATGCTCTATCGAAATATCTTACGGTTATGACCCAGCTATTCCTATTGCTTAGTATTCTCGGACACCGATTCACTCGACAAGTCCCCAAATCAGAACACGGTTGAACTAAGAAAGAGATTATAACACTTAGCAACATATTAAAACCACTACAACTTAACTTACATAATATGACTAAAGATACATATGACTTTAAATCAAAATTATCGGAACTAATTATCGAGAAGAATGAGATCATGGTAAGCTTTGATGTCGTTTCTTTATACACCAGTATTCCCATTGATAAATGCTTAGATTTCACCAGTGGTTTACTAGAGAACGACAATACTCTTTCTGACATGTCCGTTGAGTATCAGTCTAATCATGAGATCCTTAAAACTATGCTTAAATTCGACGCTTTTCACTTTTAACGGGTTGTTATACAAACAAACTAACGGTGTGGCATTTGGATCCCCCGTGTCCCCGATTGTAGCCAACCTTTTTATGGCACATATAGAATCCAATATCTTCACCCACGACATTATTCCACGAATCGGGCTTAGATATTTAGATGATACATTTGTTGTGATAAAAAAGACTCATCTAAGATCTTTTTCAAAACGGATCTCACATCAAATTCACGAATGAAAATGTACATGGTGAGCTACCATTCTTGGATTGCTTAGTAAAAAGAAATCCAAATGGAAGTCTAAACCTATCCATTTACCGAAAACCGACGCACTCAAATCGTTATATTGACTTCCATTCAGTGCTAAGATCTTGCTAGCCTTAAATCTTTTTAGAAGAGCTAACAAGATCGTCACATTAGAAGAAAACAAAAAAGGAATGTAATTAGTATCTTACAATTTAATAATTTTCCTATGAAGATTATCAGAAGTTTATTAAAACAAGACGGTCTAGTGCGTTCTAATAATAATTCGAATGAAGTACCATGGATTGGTAATGCAGTTTTACCATAACGTCATGGCACAACAGAAGAACTCCAAAGAATCTTAAGACAACACAGAATTAAAGTATATTACAAAACAACGAACACACTTCGAAATACTTTAGTTCGCTTAAAAGATAAAATCCCTTTCATGTCCACACAGAACTGCGTCTACAAATTAGGTTGTATCGATTGCGATGCCTTCTATATTGAAGAGTCATCTCGAGAAATCTTGACTAGAGCGAAAGAACATATTAGGCACACAAAGAAACTTCCTAACAATCCCGTAGAATTGGATAAACTTCGAATTAAATCGGCAACAGCAGTTCATGCCATTTTCAACGACCACCAAATTGATTTTAAAAATATCAAAATATTGCAAAAAGGCTTTTCCAATTACAAAGAAAGTAGAGGTGGTGAAGCGTCCCGTATAATGCTTAATCCTACTTCGCTCAATAGAAAAGAAGGCCTTACCATACATCTTACATGGACTGTCTATCCTAGCCATTCAGTCTGATCGTATTTACAATTCACACTATCATCTTACAAATTATACTCGATTCTTTCTCACCATAAATGTCACACTATTTTTCACCCTTAAACAATACACGCATACATACACACAAATTTACATACATATCACTTATAAATCACCTTGACCGAAATTACATGACATTAACCTGTTGAGACCTGTTTTTTGATTGATCACATATTATTCTTATTGTTCCGTTGTACTAATTAAACTTGGATTAATTTTAATTTTCACAGATTGAAATCATGAATCAGTTGAAGCTAGACCACCATTGAAAACCTGGAAGCACTGGACGGCTGTTTCGTCCTAGTATGGGACTCCTCAGCAGTGCGCATCTAATGGTTAAGTGCTCGCGCGCGAAGCCAGTAGGTCCTGGGTTCGAGCCCCGCGTGGTGCGGGATCGTGGATGCTCACTGCTGAGGAGTTCCATACTAGGACGAAACGGCCGTCCAGTGCTTCCAGGTTTTCAATGGTGGTCTAGCTTCAACTGACTCATGATTTCAATCTGTGAAAATTTCTTTTAAAAAATGTCCACAAACCCCTTCTGATAATTTTAATTTGGTTATTTATTCTCTGAAGAAGTGACTTACACTAAGTCACGAAACGTCGGAAAATCTCATTTTTCTACTCATTAGGATATTACAAATATATTAATTTTGTTTATAACAATCTACCCAATGCTCAATTTATTCGAAATTATCAAATCAAACCTTAGTAATGATACCTATAAATGCATAGTTGATTTTTGAAGATGAATAAAATAGTGATGAAACCATATTGATATCGGAAAACATTGTGTAATTCCATTCTTATATATTTATATATAAATGTTCTTAACAAGTATATGTGTGATCAAATTGTTCGAAATGTACTGTGCTAATATATCACATAGTTCCGAACATCTTCATCTTCTCATTACACTATCGAAATGTACCAAACGGACTAACTGCTTCAAATTTCTTATATTTGAGTTTAAACTCTTTGGTGTAAGAAATAGAGCCTAACCTGAACGACTTTACTGTCTGTTATGGGTTAAATAATAACGACATAAATTGAAATACGATTCAACTAAAAAAAAATGGTATGTGGTCGATTCATCATTGACGATCAATTTAGAATCTAATTATACAGTATCCCTTAACAATTTGTTAAGTGGTAGATAATAAGATTGACTAAGTTAGCATTTACTTCCTGGTGTTACACTACCTATTCGAATGAAATCTGTTATGAAAATACACCTGATCAACTATAAATGAGTATATGGATACTGTCACTAATTGTTATCGTGCGGCTAGGCTTGTTTATGCTCTGAAGCTTTCATTTAACTTTCTAAATAAACTGGAAGAGTCAAACTTAAATGTTTCTGTCATTATCATCTTGAAGAACTGTAAAAAATTTTTTAGTTATCCGTGATCTTTTATATGTATAAAATGTGCTGACCCTTGTACTTCAGGAATACATAGACATTCTTTAGTAACTGCTTGGTCTAACAAACTAATAACTCTTTCATATGGTGATAGTCATCTTGCGTAACCACCAAAAATGAAGTCATCAGTTAAACTTTCTTCAGAAACTCCATATCTTAACTCATAGATTCTAAGCTGTGTAAATTTGACTTTGTCTTTATTAGTTTTGAAATGTGAAAAATGCCCATGTTGTGAATTAGAACAACATATAAATATAAGCGAACAATATTGTTTGAGATTAGATCTTCATTAGACTTTACTCTAATATACAGTATTATTTATATGCATATAAACCTGTTAACACATTATCAAATTGTACTCTTTACTTACTATGTTTATTTATGTAATCTATTTCACCGTTATCACTGAATCATAGACTACCTTGATTGATTTAATAATTTCGTAATATGGATATAAATATTACTGTTTATTCAGTCAGTCAGTAACAACGTAGAACTTCGTACGTATGTACATCAGTTCGAGTTGCCACACCACATTAGCACAGAAATGCAGTTGTCGATTCAAATTCCGTAGTGGTAGAGGTAGCAAGAGTATAAGCAGTAATAGGGAAGATTAGGGTTTGGAGATGTTATTTAAAGAGTATAATTCAGTGAAATAAATTTGGAAAGAGGAAAAAAGGGACATGGAGAATTCAGAAGATTAGAATTTGGGAGAACACAAAGAGTGGATGCACCTGCGCCATTGCAAACGATTTTGAGCCATGTCATTCAGGGTCTCTAACCATCGGTTGCTATCATCTCGTGGTCCCCAACCAGGTAGTCTATACCTACCAACATGACTCAGTTCACTTGTCAGTGACTTCATGGACTTGTGCCATGTTTTGGTTTGGCATTGTTTATTAGTTTTGACATTTGAATGATCTCTGCTTAGAAACCGATGTTTTGATTCAATGATATAGATATCAATACACCTAATTAACATCAAACCAATGAACTAAATAGTACCATAAAGCTACAATTCATGTGAACATCATACTTCTAAATTGAAATCAATTTGATCGCAGTGTTTTACATTAAGTCTAATATAATATACTAACCATCTCTTATCCAATCTCATAATACACAGTATCATGTGAATATAATTTCCAAAAAAAAAACAATTTAACTTATTCTGTCATTTCCACTGATTTATTGAATAGTTGACTTAAATTTCTTTCATCTTCATCATTACAATTGAAATAAGTAATATGAAAGTGTTTGACAACATTCTTTTTATCAAATAAAAGAAACATACCAAATTTCCAGTAAATGTTACTGATATGCTGTAGAACATGTGAAATGTTTCAAAATGAATAACTTTAAAGCAGAAACTCCTACACGAGGAGTAACAGGCGTAATTAAGTAAGTAAGTAATACTGCGTTTTCTTCGATTCAGATACAAGATAGCTTTTGATTGAGTTAATTATTCAACCTTAAGGTAACCATTTGATAAATTAAACCACACACCACACCTACCAAAAGTTTCATTGTGTAAAAATGTCTCTCTTAATATGATTTGATGAAAGATGGTTAGCAGTGGTATCCAGGACGTGCGTTTCGTCCTATTTGAGACTCGTTAGCTGGATGTACCTGCATCTCAGAGTCAACGTTCACCCTGGGACCCGAACCCAGTACCGTTCGCTTCAAACGCCATCGCGTTATCCACTTAGCTACTGAGTGCTGATAGCTACTTGCTTATGCAATAAGGTGAAGTTAAATTCATTTACTATTGGTTGTTTGAATCTTCCCATTGATATTTAGGACTGCATGAACATCAACTCTGAGATGCAGGTAGATCCAGCTGACGAGTCACAAGTAGGACGAAATGCGCATCCTGGGTTCCACTGTTAGCTACTATCCATCTTTGCTTATAGTGCTTGTGAATTAAGGTAATCCGCACAGTATACACATATGCCAATAAGAGACTGATCAATTTCAGTCCTAAACATCAATGGGAAGATTCAAACAACCAATACAAAATGAATATATCACATAATGGTTTATATGTGTTTGTTTCTCACTAATTACTTAGTGTAACTTATAAGTCCAGTACTGAGTCTGCGAGATCTACTGATACAACCTGGCCACCCAAACAGAAGTATGTGACATGTGGTTTAAACTTATAGCATAATGATTGAAAACCTAATAATTTAACCAGTAATCTATCGGAATAAACAAGCTTCTACACAGTTTTGCATTACCTCTCCAAACAACCCATGCTTATGGAGTTGTTTTTGCACTATCAACATTATACTGATACCTAATTAACCATCAAACTAACTTCATTCTTTTTATTTTGTTTCTATGTTTCTTTAGGATGGAGTAATCATTTATCAACCTGAAACAGATCTGTTTATGTATATAAACATTTTATTTCTGTTTATAACAAAGTGTTGTGTCAATTTTATAGATTATGCAGAGTATTTCTTCATTTTCGAACGTTATTCTTACACTATTACTCAACTATTTGTTTATTATCTTTTTTCATTTTCTCATACCCGGTTATCTTTAACCGATAGTACCATATGTATATATCCTTTAATTTATCGACAAATCAACTGATAAACAATCTGAGCAATTTTTCTTATGATGAACTATCGTATAACTATTCATTTCACTGATTTTGTTTATCCTTACAGGTGTAGTAACATTGTACCAGATGCAGTAACTGTACTGCTAAAAAACACTCATCTATTGACAATTGATGTCTGTTTTTTTCATTAAAAGGTTAGTCTATTAGGTAACGTGTCGCTATCTATTACCTCAAGCGTGTAAAATATGGACTAGCACTACGTAGAGATTATTACGTTGTCAACTTTTATCGACTGAGATGACGATGATGTATGTTACCTACGTCTATTGAGATGCTCTTTCTTGACTAGCTTAAGAGTCTCTTGTAAAGAGATTTAAAGGTGGTCACTTCATAGTAACGATTTCAGTCTAAAAAGTCACTGAAGACCATCATGAACTGTGTTTAGAAGAGAAAACACTCCTTGTGGTGTCAGCTAGCTAATCGGAATCTATATTTGGTAGCTTTAGATAATATGGCTCATAATTGGTAAAAGTAATGTAAATTAAGGCTAAACCTCAATCATCATCATATTATTCTATATTTTATTGATTCTTTTTGACTTGCTTTCTTTCCTACTTTTATCAATTCATCCCTGTTGATATTACTGTCCATTCATTGTTCAACTCGTTGTTAATTTATTCTTTTTATGCTGAGATGTAGTTTAGAACTTTTTATCGACAAGTATATGGATCAATCTTTACATTTGACGTCAAATAAAGCTACTTCCGTAAGTCACACACACAGACACAAGGTGCTTAAGCAAAAGAACCTTAAAAACCAGCCTGTGCTTCAGACGAAACGTATACCTTCTGTATAAACTACTTTCAGCAGTGTGTATGTAAAAGCTTGGAAACCAACACTTGGACAATACTTACAATGGCGCTTATAAACCATTATTCATACAATGTTCATTAGAGTTAAAGATATATATGTCTAATCCTTTTAATGTAATTGTCTTCGTGATGATAAATTTACGTTCCAAACTTTATATCGACTGATTTCCTACTTCTACTTTGCGATTGAAACCAATTATCTTTATATATGCAGCTTATAATATTTGTGTTAGCAGTTTTACATGAACTAGATTGTCATCGTCCTGCTTGACCTAAGTTTTATTTTAACTGACGTTCACTAGCAAGGCGCGACTCAGGTTTCAAGGGAACTGATGTTTTTATTGAGTTTAGAACCCTTTCACAGTCAGACTTTACTACTAAGTTACGAATAATTCCCTAATGAATCCAAAATAGAATGTAACCCAAGTCTATGAGTTTCAGCCGATCACTCCTAACAACTTGATTGTAAACAAAGTTCATTTAATATCCAAGTGTTTAGATTAGTGACTACACTGCAGTATAGTTAATAGAACTTCAGCAATACTAAGAGTTATACGCTACGACATTGGTTATTAATCAATGATCAACTAGTGTCTATTTCTCATTCTGATACTTCTTGTTATTGATTCAGCTAAACTTCATCCGTTATTCATATAAAATACTATCAAAAATTCTATTACACTGTTCTGAATACTTCTTTTAAATACAAGAATACCATTTTGTAGATTAACTTCGTCTTCTTATTACATTACCCAGGTATATAAAAAAGACCACTTTTTAATTTAATTTGAAATTGAGGCCTTTTCACATTGTCTCCAAGTTACAACCCTTTATAAGATTAAAGCGTACTACTCGTAACGACGTCTGTTGGCTACAGTGTCACAAATGATGTAATTCAATTATTGTTAACTTTTGTTCTAGGGTTTCAAAAAATGAATGAGCACGTCTATTTAATGATTCATCACTAAACGTTTATTTAAGTCATCTATGACGGTTTTATGCATGCGCGCCTACACTAGTGTCTCTCATTTCTATTGATCAACGTTGTTTTGGCAGCGTTTACAATCCTTTGTTTGGTGAATTCATTCTTATAACGTTAAACATTTATGAAGTCACATTTCTATAAGTAAATTTATCACTTACTTTTTAAAAATATCACGTTTATGGCCAATTCGAACTTATAACAATCTACATATTGCATAGCAGTTGACTGCATTTATAATGGTGTGTGTTTTTTTTTTTTCAAAAGAAAAGCGTCCATTTTCTTGATTGTAACCGCAACACTTGAAAACAAACTAAAGAATTATTATTTCATAACAACAGCACAAACTCACTACATCTTTGAGGTGAAGTTGTAAACAATTTAAAAGCGAGGATTTTCTATGATGTCATTTACTGAAACCGCGCAAGTTAATTAATTGTTGCCTAAGATTTTTAGATATCTCTGTGATGTTTTCTTCAAGTGCAATGCTCAGTAAAAGAGTATTTTATTGCTCTTGTAGATTATTTTTCAGGTTGCCTAGTCTCCTTTACGTTTCAACTATATGATCCGGGTATATGGCCACTTTTTAGACTTATTTATTAAGGTTTAGCTAGTTTCACGTTGATAATGACAATGGTTAAATTCTTGTCTAACTCAGGAATAGAGAGCAAATTAAGTTACTTAATGGGGATCAACTTTGAAAGTTTGTATACTGGCTATCGCAAATCAGTTTTCTATGTGGGAAGCTATCAGTACAGTATTCTCTGAATGAGGTGTAAGTTAGTCATAAGACGATCTAATAACGACCCTACTACTATACCAGTAATCTGTTTATAGTACTCGTTATTCAATCCAAACGGCATGTTAAGTGTATCGTAGGTGTCCTTTACTTTAAGTATTACTCAATCCCTCCTATTTGAAGTAGACGTTGTTGATATTTTCCAGAACTATTGTGTTAGCTCAGTGAACGAGACACTACCGAAAGCATCCAAATTAGTTACAAGTTTTATCTATCATTTCATAATAGTCCGTTAACTATAGATTACTTATTCGCATTTGTAAGAAAAATGTCTTCGTTTACGCATTGAATTTTATAAATTGTGATACATCATAAACCAGTATTTTAATTGTATAGTCACGTGAGTTACGATTCTCATTGGTATAAAGTACATGTAACCAATCAGCTAACTTCTTTACTTGATAGGAAGTTTAGTAAAGTGGGAAATTCTGTAGTCTGTCGATCGATTATGTAAACATAAATGCTGTTACTGGCTTAAAAGATACGATAACAAGTCAAATTACTTTAGTTCTCTATGTATGTTTAAGAAACAGTTATCTTTTCTTTAAAAATACGCTTTAGTTAGGGAGTTTCTAATATTTATTTATATTAATGCTGCGCGCATGTGTACCTAGTTCATATCCCGAGTATGTGATTTATTGTATAACCCAAGCAAGTCTTTACAATATGTAACAATCGTAAATAATACACGTCCACCGTTCATCGAAGTCAGATGAAAACAACACTTAAACCTAATTCGCCCCCGAATGTCCTGGTACGGCCGAGAGTGGGGAGAGTCCGCTCTCCCTCTCGAAATGCTTTCACATGGCCACGCGTATATAGCCTCTGTCAGGGAAGTCCTACTCACTGCCTTCTCGTGGCGGGGGTGTTGTTTGCGAAAATGCGAGGATGAAAAGCGAATGTCCGGCACTTTAACCGGATCCCAAACCAATGGTGCACATGGGCTCCAGTATCCTGAGAGAACAAATGGCGTATGAACCAATCGTTGGTCACCGGCTTCCATGGGACTGCATCTCCTTACGATGCTCCACTGTCTTGTGGATCAGACCTTCAGGTCGAAGGCTCGGGGAGTGACCCTCTAAGAAAACCACCTGCTTCGATTTGGGCACCCGGGCAGTATCACAGCTCTCACACATATCGAATGAGATTTGTTTGGCGCATGTGTATTTGGTGCCTCCTTGTACCAATATCTATGTGTTAAAATAAAAATTCGTATGAGGTATCAACATAAATACCTAGGTTTGAATAATTTTTTCTGGTTAGCATTTTTTAGCGAGTTAGTTTTCTACGGGATGAGGACGCTAACCCCATGCCCAACCCTCCTCCTTTATCCGGGCTTGGGACCGGCAGTAGCCCCCGGAGGGACTTCAGGTGGAGTTAACATAAGTACCTAAGTTCATTGTTATTCGATCAACAAACAAACGTACAAGAATAATGTTAAATATTTAATTGAATATGATACACATATTATGACTCACGGTGTCTAAATGCTGATACTGAAGCATATACAAGCCTGGCTGTTATCAAGAAAACTCGAAGAGTAAGAAAGGAAGTTTATATGGCTAATTCAATACAGTTTTGTGCACTGATCCGTATACATACATGTCCATCCGTTGTAAAACTAAGTCTATCAGTGGATAATTGAGAGAAACTACTTAACAATCATCTCCAGACTTTCAAAGGAGGAATTTCTAAAACAACAACCATATTTCTACATGATTTGTCCTGTTACTCTGCAGAATAACTAGCAATCCCTTCAGCGTTCATTTTAGTTCCTTGCTTGTTCTAACTAGAAAGTAATGAAGATTATATTGAAAAAAAAACTGGCGTATTTGCAATACTCACTTTCCATTTGGCACTTCTGTTAGGACCATTGCATGGATTATTCATAAGCATCACACTTAAAGAAAATTTCCTTTATACCGTCTGTCTAAAGTAGACTTCTACTCCACTAATTACAAAATTTTATCATGAGCTTCAATAGTGAGATATTTTGTTTAGGTCTTCAGTATCATAGCTCAGGTATACTTTTCAAAAATATTTTGAAAATTAAATCCCTCCATTGATTTCGAACGAGCGTCTTCCCGAAATATTCTCGTTGCTCGAATAGTAGGTTATGAAATTTCTATCTTTCATTTCGTTTTCACCAACATGGAGTAACGCACAGCTATTCGATCACATTTTTCAGTGCGTACCCACTAATTTCACTCAGGGTCACACCTAAAACATTCTGTCCTCAAGGAGAACATAATATTCTTATATCACTGAGTGGGAACACATCTATCCGCACTTTTAACTTTAATTATTTCGAGATAGACCGAAACTGTCTGTTTGGTGAAAATTCGTTCCCAAGTCTTCATCTCTAGGTACTGAATGCCTTAAGTATGGAGTTGATTAAACTACATACATAAAGCAAGTACTGGAGATACATCTCAGAATACGACAATTTTATTCTATGATATCGAAAAACTGTGTACAGCACAAAAGTAACTTCAATCTACAGGGAGATCTTGATGTGTTTTTAACGTTATTATTATTATCTTTAACCATGAGATGGAATATGAGTAGTCAATATTAGTATTTATGGATTGTGGCTAGTAATAAAATCGAAGATTCACGCTTCAAGCCATTTCTATCTCGGCATTTGGGTGTCCCTGCATTCTAGTGTTAATATTTATACTGATACTTAAACTCAGCACTTATTTCTTTAAAAGCTTGTACGCTATCCATCAAACAACTAATTCAGGAAAGCTGTCGATAAGTTGAACTGGCATGATATTTTTTTCCCAAAGGTCTGTGATTAGCTTTGAATATCAACAACAAGGCAATACAAACACTTACATAAAATCAGCGTTCTTTGGCTGTCGTTCTTACTAGTGACAAGAAAAACCAGTCTCCCTCTTGAAATATAATTAAATATCGGTCAATGCAAAGGTTAATGAGTATCATATTTGATCAATACGCTTGAAAACATTATCACTAAAAGCACTTGTAGTATTTTTAACTTGTAAACTAAAATTTTACAGCTCTAGATGCTTCTATATTCGATACTCAGAAATGAGATCTTTCAGTCTCTTTCGGATTCCTGGAGATAATGGTTTTATCTTCCCCATGTATAAAGGTTAGGACAACGGCTGGCACTTCCATGAAATTACCAGTTAATTACAGCTGCACCTAAGTGTCTAGATTCATACTATGACTCGAACCCTGTACTCATCTTTTCATACCAATATGTTACTTAAATTTCAACCTTGATGCTGAGGTGTCACAGCAATAAACTTGTTTAGTTGTCATGATCTTAATTATCAATATTAAAGGCCTGTGATTTCCCAGTAACTGTTGTATTACGATATGACACTTGAAGCCAGACTTATTGAGTTACAGTCTTAGTTTGAATATCGACACTGAGTTGCAGGTATTTATTATCTAATCAGTTCAAATGAAGAACCTGCATTTTATTGCAAGTTACTATCCAAAATTACTGCTTTTTATAGTTTTTAGAACGCAAACAGTTTCAAGGTTTTCCATGGTGGTCTAGCTTCAATTGACTCACAAATCACATGGCCCAGATGACTTACCTCCGGCTTTTTTTAAAGATGGTGGTGACTTTCTGACTAAGGAATTGACGACGTTGTTTACAAAGGTTTGGAAACTAGAGAGTGTACCAACGTCATGGAATGAGTCGATAGTTGTCCCTATCTTTAAAAAGGGTTCACGCCGTTCCTGTAACAACTATCATGAGATAAGTCTACTTCCAATTGCGTCCAAGCTATTGGCTTCCGTTATACTTCGTAGGTTGTTCAAAACCCGAGAAAGATTGACTCGCGAGGAGTAGGCTGGGTTTCGTTCCAGTCGAGGATGTATTGATCATATCTTCACACTCCGCCAAATGTTAGGACACCGCCACACGTATCAAAGGCCAACAATCATAGTGTTTTTCGACACTAGG